GTATGATTTCACCCATTCTATTGCATGTTCTCCACATTTGAGAGCGGGCATCGGGCTTGGATAGCCCACCGCACGTGCTGACCACATCACTTGAGTTTTCGAATAATTAATTGGTTGTACAGCTAACGCTGAGTAGTATTCCAAGTGGACGAAAAACGAATGAAGTCGTCGCTCAAGATCAATGCATTGATCAGTATATCGAATACCCATCTGACCAGCGACAACAGCTGCTAGATCGTCAGCGAAGAAAAAGGACATAGCCATCGGAATAAAGGCCTCCATATCAGCGTGGTAGGCAATGAAGAGTGTTGGAGTAAAGCTAGATCCTTGCGGTCCACCCCGACGAATTGAAAACCACCGAGAACGTTTTCCCTGGATGTCTATTGTGGCTCGTCTGCCTTCAAGCCAGACGCGAATCCATTTGACAAAGGCCAATGGGATACCCATCCGAGTTAATTTTCCCAAACATCCCTCGAACCATAGTTGATCGAATGCACTCTTGAAATCGACAAAGACAGTAGCAACTGGTGCACTATTAGACATGTATGATGATATTTGTTCTATTAAGAGTAAGACTCGTGTTTGTAGACGATGTCCAGCTCGAAAACCAGATTGGCTATCAGGTAGAATTCCTCGATCTTTGAGCACTTTCAAGAACCTATTGAGAAATAGACGCTCCTGAACTTTGAGGAATGAGTCTAGTAACGAGATTGGCCTAGTTTTATCTGGAGTACAAACAGCATCTTTTTTTGCCAGTAGGATCATTCTGACGTCTTTTGATCGTTTTGGTAGAAAAAATGTTGAAAAAGAGTGGTTGTATAAGCGAACGAAAAAATGCCAATAGTTCTTCGGAATATTACCAAGTAAATATGGTGACAGTCCATGGCTGTCTCTCGAACGCTTCTTCTCTCTACCGACCAACACCTTAAGAATTTCAGGATAAGTTACCAAAGGGATCGGGTCCGAATGATTATCTAAAATGGGTGGTGTAGTATCTACATAAGGATGAGGTCTTACTACTACTGGTTCTTCAAATAGTTGTTCATAGTAATCAGCTGCTAGGTTAGCCATGTTTTGGGGGTCTTTGAAGGATTCTCCGCTCGAAGAAATCAATCCACGAAGAGAAGATGAAGCTGTACGGAAATGTCTTTTGGTACGATTCCAAAAAAGTACTGAATCTGAACCAGATTTATGACGAGCGGTTAAACTCTTAGCAAGTTGTTCTTGTTGAAAACGTTTAAGTTCCGAACGTGTGAAGTTACGAAGACGTCGTGCTTCTTCTCGAAGTAAGATACTTCCCTTTCGTTTCGCTTTAAAAGCCAATGACCGACTACGTGCTAGAAGAATCCTAAGATTTGTAGGTACAGCCACTCGCGCCATTTTGAGAGGGAAAACCATCGTACAACGAGCCGTTAATGCCGCTAGAAAGTCGACAAAGACGCCGTAAGTTATGTCATAATGATTATTCATCCATTCTTGTTCCCAAAAAGCATACGTGTATGACAGGAAAATAGAGAAGACCTTCCACAACGTTCTCGAGGCCATGCCTGTTTCGCGACGTTCACAGGTTAGAACAAACATTAATGGTTTGTGGTCGCTTGTTGTCGGACCTTCATACGTCTGAACTGAAATTTCGATTCCCGCCGCGAGTGCATAGTCAATTGTCCGATCTGAGCGAAGAGATGTGTGTGTATCGGGTGCAAAGGGCGCCAGTCCAAAGCCGTCTGCCCAATTTAGTAAAGCTTCGGCCCTATCGCCATCCTTTTCCAGATCGACATTAAAATCTCCCATGATAACGCACGATGCTGAAATAAAATAGGAGAGATCATTCCATGACCAAGATTTACTAGTTGGAGCATATATCCCGATTAGACGGCTAGGTACATCGAGTTGCAATTCTATAACACATATATTTGGCAACGAACACTCAATACGAGATGAAGGAATCGTGTGACGTATCAATATGACAACACCTCCATGTGAATTTTCTCCGGCTTGATAAAACGACCGATAGGACGGATACATTGCACCAAGTAATGAGTAATCCACTTTTCCAACTTCACCCAGAACGAGAATATCAAATTGATGTTTAGTAGAAAGTAGGTAAACTTCGTTCCATCTAGTGTCTAGACCACGTACATTAAAGCAAAGTGTATATAATAACGAAAGCGATGAATAGGAGTTCTGGCGGTTGAAAGAGGACCAGTGAGACAAACATGATGATAAAGTCTGTGACTCATGCCACTCTTCCACGATATCGGATAGTATATCAAAATCATTTGGCGAAATAGTGCCTTTTGCAGATAATAGAAAGTTATAGTCTATAGTTTTACGGACTGGTGTAAAAATAACCGGATTGGAGCTTAAATTCATTCGTTAAGTTTCAACCGAGTAGAACAAGTTTTAAAATTTTGAGCTTCTGATATGAGGTATTCCTTGTCACCACCAGCTACCTTTACATTATGAGCAATGATCAAACAGACAGTTTCCATTGTACGATTAATCATAGATGTGTAATCTTGAAATTCTACTTCTAATCTTTGGACTTTCTTTTCGACAGCTTCGATTTTCTTTTTCGACACTTCAACATGTTTGCGCAGTTCGCCTCGCAATTCTTCAATAGCTTCACGGGTTTTATTTGATTCCATCTTGATTTCTCCCAGAAATGATTCTAGTTTTTTCGAGAGGAGAGTATCTAAATTTACTTCACTTGTTTGAGCAGTTGTGGCAGCAGTAAACGGTTGTCTATGCTTTGCAAATGCAAGCGGGAAATCAGCTTGAGATGGATTTACATTGTCAAATCCATTTGAATGTGTCATAGGTTGTTGAAGCAGGTTTCGAGTTAGTGCAGCCCTATAACTCTTCACTATTGAACACTTTGCATCTGTAGATTTATGGTCTTCTCCACATCTAGTGCATTTTGGCACGCCAGAGCATTCATGATTTTTAATATCAGTGCAGCTTTCTCCACAAATTTTACAGGTGGTTTTATCGCGATGCGGACAATTTTTTTGAAAATGACCAATTTCACAGCAGTTTCCACATATCAGTACTTGCGCTGGAGTGAGATATTCCACAACCCGATATTTCATATAATCGATCGACATTTCTTTTTGTTGTAGCAGGTTATTTCGAGCTTGAGCACAAGAGAGTTCTACCTTTACGGTACGAACAGGCTTCTGAGAACGGTTCTTGAGACGGATCACATCAACCACTTCGGGATATTTTTCCTTCATATCAATAATGAACTCTTCCCAATCCGTATTCAAAGAAACATTCAGCAGAATAAGACATAGTTGTGGCGGTGTCGAAGGCTTTTTTACTACGAATGTTTCACGACATAAATGAGTAGGCCAGTTTGAATCATTAGTTAAGAAACAAAAAGAATCAATATTATCAACAAAAACCAGAATGCAATGATCCTTTTCTATTTGCTTATGACGATAAGCAGCAATCTTCAGTTCTACATTCAGCTGTTTAGCATATTTGACTAGTTCCTCGATGACCAGTTTGTCTTTTACGACTGTTTTAAATGAGATTCGAAACGGAGAGAAAGGGTATCTTGTTGATGCGAATCGGCATGCAGCCGATGATATTTCGACTGTGTGTCCGTTTGCCTGAACAGAATTCAATTGTCATCTTTCTTCACAAAGTATATGAACAGAAAACATTTCACATTATTTCAATGAAGTCTATTGTCCACTATTTTCTGTTCTGAATGAGCAAAATACTAATGACTGAACTAAGATCTTCTTTTTCACGTGGCAAACTAAAAATAGAAAAAAAAATTCAAATTTCGCTCACCTAATTCCTAGAACAAAGCAGTGAAACAATGAGTTTGTGAAAATCTATTACACATATTGTTTTCTGGAGTGTGCCAAGTATCTTTCAAATTTTAAGAAAACTAATGAACTTCCTAAAACTGAATTTGAATTGCAAGAAACTAGCTACACATCGTAAATCTTACTCGCAAAATAGCAGAGAGTTCGCAGTCATAGAAAACTTATTTCAATTTGAAATTGCACAATTAATCAGAAATCAATTAGTTCTGGCAAAGACATTTTAGCCGGCTAATGTTCCAAAAATGAGAAAAAATAGGATTTCTCAATATTCAAATGTTTGATTCTCGACATACGATTATGACCACTTAGATTTTATTTCATGTAATCCGAAGAAACAATGCAGTATGTATGACCAAATTTTAATTTTATTCGATAGAGCTAGAGAACGTCAGAATTTGTTACAAGAAAACAGATAAAAATTATTTTAAAATATATCAAGCAGATAAATGTTATAATACACTTTCAATTATTTGAAAAAAATTCATTTTAATCTAATATTTAGGTTTTGACTGAGACCATTCGTTTTTATACGTTTTTTTAAGATTAGAATTGTTTAACTTTTAACACAAGCTCGATATTCTCTTGATTACACTAAAATTCTTCTCAAAGTTGAAATTCTATGAAGGTCTATGAAGATTATTTGTTAGGGACTGAATCTCGATTTATGTTGTACTCCGCATAATAAGATCTTCGCAAATTTTTGCCAAAAACTTTATTAGTGTGACCTTTCATAGAATCTAACAATGGAACCGTCTTAACTGTTAATCGAGTTGAGGGGTCTTGTCCGAGTCAAATTAACACTCTCACTACTAAACTAATAAATTTAAAATATTACATCCCCATAGCGAGTCTGGACTGAGATAATCGATTTTTAAGATATTCAGTTTTGGTATGTGAATATAATATCATAGAAACTAAGCACATTCAATATTTTGCATAATTATCAGGTTTTTGAGAGAATATATTTTTGAAGTCTGATTAAAATGTGATGATGATATGAAATCACATTAGATCTATCTTCTTCTGAAAGTTTAATAATACAAAAGTGAGAGAAAAGCCGTCAATTTCCTACGATAACAAATAGATTATCAGTGCGTGTGACTTTATTTCATAGGAAAACAATAGAATACTGCAAATGAAGATGAAGATTTTCAATCAAATGATGATAACAAAGGGTCTTTTTGCACCAAGCACACATTAAGAAGGTTCGCTCTTCACAGTTAATAGTTGAACAGTATAGATCACAGAATTTAAAGCAAACATCCTTGGATTTGTGAATTTTGCTAATTGTTTCATTTATTATTTTAGCTTTTGCATATGATGTCTTTTCAGAGTATCCCCGGAAACTCGATTATGTCCTAGGGGTAAGAGGTAGATAGATATATAGGTATAGGAGGTATAGAAGGCATAGGAGATATAGGAGGTATACTACCAACGACAATATGACTACAAATAGTATTTTTCAGGTAACTTTTGAAAGGAACAAGATAGAGAGGTGCGGTTTTCACCATTCGAAAGAGGAAATTATAACACATCGAATCATATGCTACAGACTTCTTCGATTTGGTTCTTCTCAAATTTTCAATTGACCGTTTTCTGGAACAACGTTTTCGATAGGTGACTACAAAGAGTTTTCAACTACCTGTTATTTATTCAAAGCAACAGTTGGAGATCCATAAAACTGCAACATTGTCACTCTTGGCTTCAATTGTTTACGAGCCATGAGTATGATACGCGAAACGAGAAGCTGGCTTTCTCTAACAGTTCTTGTGAAAAATAGAGCTTTTTTCTCCTGAGGGTGTGGGTGTGGGTGTTAGTATGAATGAATTGCCCACACCTACATACACCCTGAAATTTGAATTTTTTACTCTAAAGTCTCAAACCCAAAACACTCTAAAGAATCATGCCTGTCTAAACCTTACGCACACATATCATTCCGGCAGGTGCAAATGATGCAAAAAGGAGTTCCATCGATAACGACTAACATAAATGCACACTGAGACACAAACGCCCGAGGTATGGGTGCGGCGAAAAGAGTTTCACCAATTACGACTCACACAAAAACACACTCACACAGAAGCGCCGCAGGTGAGGGTGCGGCGAAAGGAGTTTCACCAAATGCAACTCACACCAAATCACACACACACACAAACGCCGCAGGTGAGGGTGCGGCGAAGGGAGTTTGGTTTTTGACGACGAAGAAAGACATAACCAGATATAGTTGGTATAGTTTATGTTAAGATACAGAGTTGGATAAGGTTTATGCTGTAACGTTAAGTTGAAGGTGGAAATCAGATTTCTGGTTCACATTTATGGTTTCATTTAATATTAGACGAAATGCTGACATTGGATGTGGAAAAAGATCGATGAATTTTCTGTTCAATATATGTTACTGAAGGTTAGAATGGAGCTAAGTTTTCGTCGGAAAAGAAAAGTGCTTATATTATAGGCGTTGGTGTGGTTAAATCAGAACACACTGTTTTTGAAGTGCGAAAAAGTGTTGGTGTTAGCGTATCATTGGGCAACGTGCATGTGATTTCCTTCAACCCTGTTAGTGGAAATTGAATTGGATTGTGAAGAAGGAGATAGGAGATATGGAATAGATTGCAGATATTAGTGTATTAGTGCAGACATTCTCAATATAGTCGTTGACTTTGAATAGTGATTCATGGTGTTATTTTTATTTAATTGATCGACGCTTGCGCAGAAAAATGAATAAGAGAAATAAATACGTGCTTGTTATATTCTGTGCATGCCCATTGCTATATGTATAAATCTCGTATATCACTCTTCCACCAGTGGCAAAATGACTGCGAATCGCAGTTTCATGTAACTCTGATAGGAATAGGATAGAGTGACGCAGTTTCCGACTTCGAAAAGTGAGGCTATGGACACATGAAAACGTTGTTTTGAAGCTTTCTATAAATTTGCTTTTCAGTGTTTTACAATCAATTTTCTACAAATGACTAGTGGAAAAATCCATTTTCATCAAATAGAAACAAGATAAAGTAGTTTCATTTTAAGAAGAACCGTTACGAACGCCGACTTTTCCTTTCCAATAGAATACTTCTATCCCGTGAACAACTGAAGCTTAGTATCTGAGCAGGGCTTTGTTTTATAGATCTTCAATTGTCGCTTTCAATACATATCAGGCAGTTGAAAATTCCTTGTAGTCATGTATCAAGAACGCTCTTTTAGAAAACATTCAGTTGAAATCTGTAGAAAAACTAGGTCGACAAGTCTATAGCATATGATTGGATGCGTCTTAATTTTCTCTTTCTGACAGTGAAAACCGCACGTTTCTATTTTGTTCCTTCGAAAAGTTACATCAAAAACACTATTTGCAATCATATTGTCTTTGGTATAGTATACCTCTTATACCTCCTATATCTCCTATACCTCCTCTACCTCCTATACCTATATATCTATCTACCTCTTACCCCTAGGACATAATCGAGTTTCCGGGGATACTCTCCGAAGACATGTAATCAGCTTTTGCAAATCCAGACTTGATAAGGCTTTGAAATTGTGGAGCAGATAGCTGGTTGTGAATAACAGAATGCATATTTATAAAATATTGACGATCGTTCGTGGTCATTTCTGTTCGATTAATATGAATATAATGTTCTATTTTCTTATGAAAGTATCTCCATGAACGGAATAAAGATATATCTTGTGGTTGAATATAACCAGTTGATCCTTCAGGAAAAATTAATAGCTGACTATTTTGATTGGGAAATACTGCTCTAAATTTTGTTAGATCAGCTTGAGTTTTCCAGCAATCAAGAAAAAGAAGGAATTTTCTATCAACCAAAGGACGTAGAACTTCATTTAAGAAGATGCGATGCTTTTCATCGCTACTCTTTCCAGATTTTGAAGCTTGTACTACGACGTTTGGTGGTACAATTAGATCTTTTTGCACTCTCTTACCGAATTCATTTTCTTTTTCTTGTAGAATCAGTAAGAATTTTCCTAATAATTGACCAGCAGCAGATGTTACAGGCTGTACTGTATAAGAGTGCGTTACATTATTTTTCTTTTTGACAGTTACTTCAGTTGTTCTTTCACCCATGAGTTACAGAGTTCTTGGAGACAAGTATTCTTGTTGAAAAGAACAATGATCACTGTTCAATATTTGATCTGGAGAGTAATTGGAAATTAAAGATCTTTGATTTTTGACCCAATCTTAAGCATCTAAAATGTATAGATATATTTTACATAAAGACAATTATATTTGAACTTCGAATAAGTTTAAATACCTTCCAAAGTGAAAACTTTTCTAATTGAAGAAGCTCTAGTAATAATTTTGTTATATCTTCTTGATGAAATTCGATTTTTTTTCTTAAATCTTGTAAGAAAAGATTCACTGACAATAAAATGATCCCATTTTAATTCTCTTGCTTTTTGAATTGCAAAAAGTTCTAAATCAGTATCATGAACAGCTTCTTTTTCAACAGCTCCTTTAACATAAAATTCATCCCACATAAATTGCTTGATTTTTTCGAGCTTTTCAAATCTTGTGCCGTTCTTTCTAATATATTCTCGAAATCTTGTAATATAGATAGGGTGTTTGACCTTTTGAAATCTATGTTTAATAGTAGTAAATTTATAATTTGGATGTTGATCAACCCATTCAACTATCTCTTCCATTTCTTCCAATGTAAAGTGATTGTAAATATTCTGTTGTTGATTTTCATCAAAATCATCCGTATCGTCGAGAGATTCTTCTTCATCAGTACCCTCTTCTTTGTCAGTTGTTTCATCATATTCATCATCGAAGTCGAGAGTTTGGTACACATCGAGTTCACTAAAGCGGCTATCTTTGAATGACTTTAAAACTTCAAATAATTGCTCTGATGCAACAATTTCATCAGCACTTGTTCTTGAACCTTCATTGGAAAACTCTCTTTCTGGTAGATAAAGAAGATGCTTTGCGATGTTAACTAAATTCATTTATTTTTTTTTTGATCAAATGGATCTCTTTTAAATGATGATAGTGATACGAAGTAAAATAAAATGTTATTTTAAATGCGCACTTGATTCTGATTTCGTATTACCAATCACAAACAAACAACTTACTAAATTATAAAGTCATGCATTAATGCACTTGATCTTTATATATCAAATATACATATCATTTTTGATACATAATAAGTATGTCCTTTCTCTCACTTTTGTATTATTAAAGTTTCAGAAGAAGATAGATCTAATGTGATTTCATATTAGATCTTCACATTTTAATCAGACTTCAAGAATATATTCTCTCAAAAACCTGATAATTATGCAAAATATTGAATGTGCTTAGTTTCCATGATATTATGTTCACATACCAAAACTGAATATCTTAAAAATCGATTATCTCAGTCCAGGCTCGCTATGGGGACGTAATATTTTAAATTTGTTAGTTTAGCAGTGAGAGTGTTAATTTGACCCGGACAAGACCCCTCAACTCGATTAACAATTGAGACGGTTCCATTGTGAGAAGAAAATCGAAGCTTAATTTTGTTTTGCGTTTCCCTGAAAAATGAAGTTTTAAACCAAAAATGTACTATTTGCCTGTATTTCTCAGTTCTGGTGCAACCGATCGAGCTGAAAACTTTCTCTCATATACTAGACACTTTTCAAGATGAGTATTTTTTAGCCTTTTTTGTTCCAAAAACTATTACTCTGCTGATTTTTGAGCACTTTTACAAAATTTGCTCTATTAAAAAAATAGTATTTTGACTATTTATTCGAACAATAAGAGATATAAGAAAACCATGAAAAATATCTACCTCAGCCAGTATCTAGCATCTGTAAAATAATTTTCTAGCTGCCTTGAACATAGCATCTGAAAGAAAGAAGGAGGGAGATGTAAAAAATGACGTCATTTTGACCCATTGTGATCTAAATATCTCATAGAAGATAGCATCTAGGAACTTTTACTCTAGCATAACTGTTCTTCTACTCATGAAGGTCTCTCAGACCTGAAAGTTTCAAATTTTTCTGATGAACTTTTCTCTAGAGATCCCAAAACTAGGAGAGGAGAGGGGAGTAGCCTTAAAGATAACTTTATCTGTTCCGCAGTGCTGCCTTTAGTACTTGATTGCAGTCAGTATTACACTTCAAAAATATAGATATTATTCAATTACGATAGTACTAAATTAAGAATATACACAAATCAAGATATTTTTACTGACACAATTACACTATGTTTTCTAGTTTAGGATTACTTTGTTATTCATCGATAAGCAATTTATTTGATCTACTTGTTATAATACTATGAGTTAAGGTAACGGGTTAATGGCCTCATTACAATATCAGAATAATTTTACGTTCTCAACCTTTTTTCATAATCACACAAAAAAATAAATTGCAAAATATGATGCAGTTAGCGATCACAATCGAACAATAGATTTTGATGGTTATGTGTATCTAAGATGATTAATTATATTTTCAAACAATTTTTTGATAAAAGACCTTAGAATAACAAAAGTAATCTACGTTCTTGAATGTTTGGCTTTGGCGGGAAGAAAAATAATTATCAAATTTTTAAATAAACATACATTTGTGATTACTTTTTTTTGAAAATAAAATCACAGTAGTTGTATAAAAACACTCGATATTCTTGTATGATTCTATCGATTGAAATAACAAAACTTTATATGTCACTATTATTTTACACCCTGGATTCTCACTATCACAGTGAACTTAAAAGAAAGAAATGAAAAAAGAAATCACTATTGCTTTTAATCATTTCGTCGTATATCTTGGAAAGAAATGGCCACGAGCACGTACGTATATATACACATGGTAAGTTGTATAGTTAAGCCAGGACTAGACACACGTTGACTTATGTGTATGTACATAGTTATATAAATTATCTTATTGAAAATCTACTCAGTGAAGTCCATGTATAAACCAACTTGCATTTGTTTCTGCATTTGATTATAGACTAAATGTTGTCATTGTAATTTTAGAATGTACGATCCAACACAAGAATTACAAAAAATGTGTGACAATATTCATCATATAGTTGGACAAGTAGAACCAGTACATGTGCAATTTAAGCACGTCTTCACCCTCACCCACACTCTAATGAATGTGTACAATACTTTAATGGAATGGAATGGTGTGCTGAAACTGCATATGCACTATAAACGAAAAGAAATAGTATGTTTCAAAGCAATGTGACTAAGGAAATATCTACTCTGGAAATTAGAGCAAAAAAATGAAGTGGATTTTTGAGTCAAATAAAGCGAAGAAAAAAATTTACTAGTTTTTTCTTCCTATTGTGCCCTGCTTCATTCCACCATGAAATAGATCATTGCTAAGAATGGGCATCCGCTATAACGAATGAAGCTCCTTTTTATGCTCAGATAAATTGGTTAGATGGTGCATATAAAATATAAATGAACAAATAATGCTTCTTCATGGAAATTTTCTTCGTACACTAATATTGTTGAAATTTCAGTTAAGAATGTGTCGAGAGACATCTCCACCGCAAATTCAAGTAGTAGGTAGACTTTTAAATTGAGAGAACGGATATATTTTCCTTATAATAATAGATAAAGGTGTATAAGATTTTCTTCTTCCCTACCTTAATCAATAGTCGTTTGTTTTATCATATTTCTTTATTTATTATATGGGATAAATAAAATTGCTTTTTCTTAGTTTAATAGTGTTGATCCAACTGTAGATCAAATTAATATCTTGAAAAACAATGATCAAACAAATGCTCAACTACATGCTCCCGTCAGTGGAAGTGAGCTAATGAATTTGAAAAAAAATTAGATACTAAATAATTTGTGTAAAACCTTTTTTACTTCAGATGCTACACCAATGATGTTGATTCAGATCAAGATGATGAAGATAATCAAATCTTTCATGGAAATTAAAAGTTCTTTCATGACTGTTGCACATCTTTTATTCGATGCATTCAAGCAATATACAACTCGTCATTGATTTATATTACGTATTGATTATTAATGTATAATATTGGCTATATTTTTCTCGAAGAAATTGTCGTACGAAATAAAAAGATTGAAAAAGAACTTTTTTTAAATCAGATATTGCTAATTGATTCAGTAGAAAAACATGAAGATAGAAAAATATCCCATGGTATAGTTGATATATGTGCATCATCAAATGCAAATGATTGTAATAGTGAAACTAATAGGAGTCATCAAACTACTGAAAGGGTATGGGTGTCGGTGTGGGTTAGATCAATACCCACAACTACACCCACACGATTACCCACATCCACCACCTCTACGTTGTTTGCATTTGAAAAGCCTACAAAAAGTATTCGAATAAGATTTTAGCATGAAGTTAAGTGTTCTTTTTTTCATAATGTACCGTGAAGCCCATTTAACGAAGTTTGTATGACTTCATAATTGACTTCTCAAAGACTATTCGAAAACGACTAGATATTGGACAGTTGTCAACCATGCAGGGTTTGTGGTAGAAGTTCAGTTCATAATTCCATAGTTTATTTTGAGAATGAAGAACTTCATTTTATTTGATCCTACTACTAATAGTTTTACTACTTTTTTAATGTCATGGGAATTATATAACATGCATGGACAAATGAAATGTAACGTTTTATAATTCATCTATATACTGCTATATCAAAAAATATATTAGCATATACATGTTCAACTTACAACTAGAATTCAACCGAAATTTCAGCGTTCAGTTCTAGACCTTTCAAGTGCATAGTTCACTTTTCTCGATCAGGGGATCACAAAGAAATGCATTACATATTTCTCTTGAAGTGAGTTCGATAGAAAAACGTTAAGTAAAAATCGAAAATCGAAAGTTGAACCTTAAAATTCTACAATTAAAACTTGAAGACAGCTGGTTCAATGAGTTCAAGCTTGAACTTTTATACTACTGCAGCAAAAATAATTTTTGACTGGTTTTCTTAGTCAATCATTTATTATTCTTGTTTATACAGTGATGATCAATTTACATTAGATGAGCTTGTACGGAAAAAAGTCTGTGGAGCACGTAGTTAGATCGACCCTTCAGCATCAAGATCCACGTGACGAATACAGGACTCGACTAGCTTAGTGACACTGTCGAGAAGACTAGAAGAAGTTGAATATTTGCGTTGAGATAGCAGAAAGAAAGCTTCGATGAATGCCGAAAAATGTAGTCCTAAAAAACAGACATAAAATTTGTCACAATGTGACTACCAATGAGGATCCGTTGTGGCATTCCCCAATAAAGAGAGTTATCTTCCGATCTTTGACTTACCGGCTGGTGTAGATTTCGAGAGAATTTTTTTCCATTTGTATAATATTTGTGCATACAGCATATCGATGGATGGCATAGTTATTGAGCGATCAATGACACCACAAATGCTAGTCCAAAACAACACATATGAAAACACATGACAGGAAGAAAACAAACGACCTGTTGTCATTCTAAACTGTACTATCTAGTTATGGAATGAAAACGGCTGAGTTTTGCTTTGTTTGTACACGCATTTATAACCTCAGCTAAAAAGAATCTGAAACGTTTGCAAACGCACTAAATAGTAAAATGCGATCAATTTACTTGCCTTTCGTGTATTTTTTGTGTTATCTGACTTAAACATATCGAGAAGCAATCAAAGTTGAGAACTACAATCGGAAAGGTTGATCCTTAATTATGAGCAAGCCTCACCATACGTTTAGATTCACTTTTCGTCTTAGGATGGACGAAGAAGTACTAGAGTTGCAACGAGTAAAAATTCTATTTGGATGTTGCCATTGTTTATAATTCACTGTGCTGCCGATTTTGACATTGAGACTGACGCAAAAACAATTTCTATTATAAGTAATCAAATGTCAACGTATGAGTATCAACAATTTGTTAGTTATCTCAGTTGAAACTATGCGTGTACACCAGAACACTTAAGAATTTATGAAGAATTATTCTCACAGTAGTTTTGCGAAAATTAGAGAAGTCTTTGTTTTGACTTCAGCTAATAATCTTCAAAGTAAAATTCGATAGCATTATTGGAAGCAAACAAATCAGATTGCCAAAAATAAATTGAAATGAAAACTTGGGAACGTAAATATTTGATATAATTACTATTAAATACCTATGCGTTTTGCGCTGATGAAGTTGGTTTATAGTAGGAGTCAAATCAATAAATATACTGCAGTGAGTTAAAAAGCTGAGGATTTATTTAATAACATGAGTAAATGTTTTTGTTTTCGTTTGTGAATAGAGCATCGAAATCGGTTCATCTCGTGCTGATGAAACTTGCTATCCTCTAAGCATGATGGCTACAGCGTAATGCACGGACCGTCGATTCGGTTGTGTGTGACATAAAATATTGAAAGAAGTTGTTCTGCTTGCACATAGGTAATATTTTGAAAATCTGCGAATGAAAACCTTTATGTAAAGCCACTCAACCAAGATAACGAGTACGAAAAGTTTATTTCTAGACTAACCTCGCTTGACATACCTAGCAAAGTTGCGAAATTGTCGATTAGTCATGGTTTTACATCCGCGTCTGGTCACTAATTCAATATAGATAAAAGCAATTTTTTCCACCAGAAACATGTGCGCGTATTTGGCTTGCGATGTTGATGGATAGATAACCTTGAGCAACTCTAACGAGTCAGTTATTGAAATGTCATTGTCTATCGGGATTTGATTGCGACGATGCCTACGTTTCATATGACAAAGTGGTAAATTCTAGTTTTATTTCTTTCATGAAACATTCGTAAAATTCGATGCTCAGACGAAAAATTATCGCTCCACTCCGTTTCGTCCGATTGAAAAAGTGTTCTTGGCTTAGTGTCAATGTTTTGTACTTACATCACAAGTTTCAATGTTTCCAAGACGAGTGGTTTCTTGATCTCTTTGTCGATTGGACTCGGTTGCGAGACGATTTTACCTGAAATGACCACTTTAGACTGTGAAATACCGATTGTCATTCTCACCAGCTTTATTTTCCTGATCGAAATCGATTCGTAACGAAGGATTTGCATTGACTTCGAGCAAAATCGGTTTCAGTTGATCGGTGAGAATTATGTCGAAACCAATAATCTAAAACAATATCACAGAATTCGAATAGAAGTACGGCGAAGACTGGATTCTTTCGTATTTTCTTGCTTATGATTTTTTACGAATGTAACAACCGTTAAATTGACTCAAGAGATTCACATTCAGCACAGTGTTCTTCTCTTGTTGAGATATCGTGGCACATTGTTTTTTTCTTTCCTTGTTCCTACAGATCGAGCGTTTCTATCGACAGATAACCTCTTTTAATGTATTCATTCAAATTCGAGGTCGTAATGTTCAACTAGGATTAGTACAGTTATGCCAAGAAACGCGACTGGTACGATACCCATTGCTAAGTCAAGTGCACTGCTTTCTAGTCGCTCAAAATACGAATAGATTACTCATCAGCTCATAGTTAATTACTACTACTGAGAGATACTCATAAGCAGTTAATATCGCTTCCATGTCACATCTTACAAATTAAGCACTAATTCATTGAATCATTGATGTGAATACCTAAATACCAATTTTCAAAATCACGAACAATTACTATCATCATATTGTGATCGCGACACGATAGCACATATCTGATACGTGGATGAAGTAAATATATTCTTAGATGAATACTGATTCGTTTCCCAATAGATAGATTTACACCTGTGAGAGTTTCGATTCTGTCATCAATATAAACTTGACGGGATCCAAAGCCGAACAACACAAGGACCAACTTGCTAGCGTAGGATCGGCAGAGACCTTGAATCTCACGCAACATGTTTGACTGCTATATTGTGCCGTAGGACAAAATGTGAGAAGAATGAAGTATAGTTAAAAAAAAATTTTTTAATTTTTCTCAAGCATATGTAGTTGTCAAAACGAAGTCGCTTTTCAGAGGTACAGCCTTTTCAAATGGCATCCTTATTTTTTCATATTTATTCACTCAAATGTCAATGCATAGAAGCAAGAACTGCCGATCGACATTCTCAAAGTTCTTGACACATACCTCTTAGAAGATTGATTTAATCTTCGCTGCTGATAACATCGAATAAGATACTTAAAAATCACTGAAGTACCGCTCTAATGTGGCTACGACTGAAAATAAAGTATGGAAAGGATCAGATTTCTAAAACAATAGGAAATTTTCACTCCAAAATACAAACAATGCTGAAGTATCTTTCAATGAAAACTCTTCATCGATATTGTTCTATTCATAGGTTAGTTTATCTGATTGGAAGTTCTTACGGTCTTATGAATCGCTCGTGTAATCGAAGGATCTATATTAGAATTTTTCCTTAGACAGAATTGTTTACGTATTCTTGCTTCCTTTCCTTAGGATTCATTTTTGAGACTATTTCTTTTGCCTTCGTCTTTAATCATTAATCGCCTTCCTCACGTAGATACGTTTGTTTTCCATCAGAGAAAAAAATAATTTTGGACTTTTTTATGATAGATTAAAAGCTATTGTTACGGTTCTTATACAAACACTGGAATCCAATTGTATGAAGCATATTGTTTGCTCACGCAGAGTTGTTAGATTAGTTGAAATTAGCTCAATGTGTTCGCATGGAAACTAGCAAGACGAAACAAAGTGCTCCAAACTGTTTTCAATTCAGTATAAGGAGCTTACAGTGTCGACCTTCACTCCTACTACTATCGGTGTTTAGTACCTGAAAGCATTGAGTTTGTTTTCGACTGATCGGTAATTCCGATGCGTATTGGACGCGAAGTTCTGGTAGAATGGCTAATACCGTCTTATTGATCATGTCAATGATCTCCGCTTTAGCTATCTGAACTTTCTTCGTGCTAAATCGTTGACACAATTCTGACCAGACCATAGTTAATTTACGCTTGCTGGCATCCATTTGCGTCTCATCTGTAGCGTGTTTATAACTGATACTGCGTTTGTTCAACGAATAATTGGTCAAATGCATGAACGTTTCATATAGATTTGTAGTCGATGGAGCTTGATAATCAACGGTAGCGAAGCGTGCTAAACCTTCGTGATAGATTCGAACTTCCAGAGGATCCAAATTGAGAAGCAGCACGTAGATTCTAATATCGAATTTCAAACCATTGATTAGAAGTGGAGGATCAATGTACTCTGCAAATGAATTTCATAGCATCGTGATAAGATATTAAACGCAGAACTGAAGACATTACCTTGAACAACATGGGGTCGAGAAGTGGCATTCCAACGAGTGGCATCTCGAATCAAATAGATACCTGTTCCTTGTGAACCATCTAGACAAACCGGAAAGAGAAAGTGATTCATTTTTGTCTCAAATCGTGCGACAAACCCGATGGTTTCACGATGAAAGTTGTAAGAGAACGCAGTTGTCTTCGATCCTCTTCATGGATAGAACGTACATCGGATTGAAATTGTTCAGTTTGCTCTGGTAGAAACCACGTTTTTGGATAGAAATCAAATTCATCAGGAAACAGCGTTCGCATGATGTTAAATGATCGTGTTAAGTTGATTTTACGCAAGACATCACACATACCTATGCGTTATAGAATCATCAGCTTTATTCCTCGGATTGAAAATCTCAAGCATCCAAAGTTGCACAGCAACAAATTTGAAACATATTTTTGGATACAAAATAGTAGCAATCAATATATCATTGTACAAAGCTCACTATTGTGTCTTCGAAAATATAATCTGTACCTAACTCTTAGAATAGATAACGATGTAAAATGTAACGGTTATTTTAGCTGCTGGTGTTAGCAGTTGCTTACAAATTTGAGAAAGACTCATACAAACTATATTTTTTCATATAAAGCTCGGCCACTGAAAATACCCTGACCGATATCCTAATTATCACCTAACTTTGTTGCTTCTTATTAGAGCCACATACAGTAAAAAAAATAATTTTTTGATATTGTTCCCAACACGAAAGCAGATCTTTGCTGGTTGAAATGCTCTTCGAAATTTAACACAGCTGAGATTTTCGTTTCCATCATTCGATTACTAATACTAAGACCAAACTACTTCGACATTTTTATCTTTGAAATCTAACTGTGAATACTCAGAAACAAGTAGCACACTTAAAAACTCCGTATAAGATACGACAATTGATCACATATGGTATACCTAACGCTTTTGCTTCCTTGAGGATCACTTTTTTTACGTTCTGCACAATGGTCAGATATACGATCATGTGAGTTTCACTGTGTTGTACTATCCTTTTCGTTGCAGCTTTCATAAGATATTCTACTCTTTTTTAGACAAGTTTTAATTTTGATGAGAAAATGACTTACAAAAGAAAAAGAAGTTCGATACCAGTAAATGGGAAAACAATAATAAATACACCTGATAGTCTCTCTAAGCGTTTTGTATCACTTCTCTATCCCATGATTACTTTGAATTTTGAAATCAGTATCAATGCTCCATCTGATTTCTTCTTTGATACCAAAAATATCACACTATATAATTGTGTGTATTGACAGTGACTGATGGGTTAACTTCAGCTGCAACTACACTAGCATCAATCTTTAAAATTGTTATAGTGTGACAACGATGCCCAAGTATCGTTTCTTTTATATTGTCTGATTTGAAATCACGTTTCGAGCATTTTTTTAACACACAGATATGGTATCATGCAAAACCAAAAAAATTAAACGCTGTTTCACACGACGAAAGCACTATCATTCATAATTTCTTACCGGGAAATTTGTTTACTTTAGCTGAAGTGAAAGCAAAATTTCTGTCGCCTTCCTGAAAAGTAGCCGAATGCCAATAAATATCCGAATCCATCGAAGCACCAGAAGCACACTAAAATGTAAGACAAAATGAAGCATAAAGAACACGTTAAGTCAATCTACCTCTTTCCAGCCAAGTTGTTGTAGGCACATTCGAACGACTTCTATATTTGATCGAGCTTGGCTGGTATCGACTTGAGCCATATTTTCCCGTGAACTTTTATCTTCTCGCTTTTGTATTGATACCAAGGGTGTTTTAAATGTAATTGTTGAGAGTCTAGCATTAAGAAGCATTTTCTCTTAATTTCATTGCGATCAAAGGTCTAGCATAGTTGCACGAGAAACGCCGAAAAGAACGTATATGTAGTTTTTTCCTTGATTTAGTTATAGGTACGTGCTCAAACACGTTGGGATGAAATTTCTACGCATTAGTAACAAGGGAAGCATAAAATTATTGAAATGCTCTTTTCGGTAGTTTCTGCATGTCTTCATACTTAAAAACAGCTTACTGTAAGATCTTGGATTAGTGGGTCTTAGAAATTCGACTAGCTTTTATCTTTTGATAGGTGAAGTGAAGTATCGGGGTGACGGACATTTCGCACTAAGTCATTCCGGACTCTGATCATATGTCCGGCTGTTCGGAAATGATTTTTGTCCTTAAAAATCGTTGACGGAAATTCGTAACTATTTTTGGACGGGACTTCGTATTCGAAAAAACAGGAAGATCCGAAGAGTGTGAATGGGAACTCGGAATGGCATGCTCTTTACTCTGTGTAATATAGTGTCGGGAGATTGGGATGAACAAGACCGGGTGTTCTGAATAAAACTCTAAGGATATTTTTTCTTATAACAAAGGTCTGAAGACCGTATTGAGACTGATCAGGAGTTTGTTATGCGATTTTCTAGAAAGTTGTAACAGATTCCTTCTGATATCGGTAACGGTTGTAAAGACTTTTCTTCCTTTCTTGTTTATTATGAAAAATAGGATTCATTCATCTAGAATAATAATTAAACATATTTTTTTCTTTTAAAAATCATGGTGTTCGTAATAAAAAGCATGTGCATATAAGGAATAATAATGATAAATACAAGCATTTTAGTTACAGTAGTAACAACAATAGAAATCTTGACTGCTTGAATTCATTAGGACATTCTGTGTGTACCATCCTATAATAAAAACTAGTGAGTCACTTAACATCTTCCAAAGAAGAGCAAACATGAACAAAGTTTCGAACAATTTGTCTTTTTTCATTAAGATTTTCCTGCAGTTTTCATGATGATCTCCAAATATTCACTATCTTCTTTGCCTTAACTTTCATTGCGATTTCCCGGTCATTTTCAATCCGAACTCCAGTCAAATTTCAAGTTTTTATCTGTCAAACTCGACTATGGCTGTTCGTTAAGATTATCTGGACAACTTTCATTACGAACGCCGTGCTTTTTTAAATTTTTGATTGTTTTTTATCATTTCGAACACCCTGTCCTTTTTTTAATGTCAGATGATCGTATCGAACATATGTTACTGAAGATCGTAATGAAAAGTTAGTGCGAAATGTCCCTTTCCCGAAGTATCGTGCGTTCCTAATTGAACTTGTGCGCGTCGTTGAATTCTCGACTAGAATATTCACACAATAAGGTAAGAAATACTTCAAACTTTATTATAATACTGCACGGCTAGGTCCACTTTTTTCACATGCTGAGTATTTTAATGCAATATTCTCAGTGCAAGCTATGCGACATTACACGATGAAACACAGTGAATTTGCTCTACTGACTGCTAGTCTTAAGGTCAAAAACAGGGTACCCTACAAGTATAAATAGTCAAGAGCTGAAAATAACGAACTTTTCGGTAAGCTGGACTCCATTCTCAGTTTTCGCTCTGTACAAGAGCATCTTACCATATTACACTATGCTCCGATTGGAGTTCCTCAGATAAGTATCAGTCTCGCGGGCATGAATAGTTCGGGTTAAGGGACACATATGAAATAAAACTATTAGTTTTGTCACGTGTATTACGATGAAGTTTTCTAGCTGAAGTGTTAAAATAATTTGAAAGCAGATGCCATCAGGCAAGCAACTTCGTGATATCATTCTATGATGAAAGTAATTTTGCGTTGGATCTAGCTTCACCAAAAATGTAGCATTGCGACATTTTACTAGGCATGGCATGAGCACTTGAGTGAAGCAAAAATCGTTCTCTGAATCTTTGATTCGACAAGACATCGAATCATACAAGACAGTCTGTTTGAGATGTTTGTGCGTTGAGTCAAGGAGAACATTAGCTTTTCTTTCATATAGAATGGGAACAGTCAATAAACAGACTGCCTATAACTAGTTTTTACCATCATTTCCACTCCTAAAGCAACTATTAGAGAAAAGCTCAGTTGGCGTGTTCAACTTGAAACCGTATCACAAGCTTAAAAGTAGTTTACGGTTTTCAGTACAAGTACTTAATTAAGTATCCAAGTAGTTAGATGCTTGATTACTTGCACCAACTATCGTATACGCTAGGAAATCATCGTCACACGCAGAAATGAGATATCGATTTCTGTCGCGCTTCTCGTTGATACTTCAATAACAAAAACGTTCCGAAGACTCACTGCTTAATAGTTTTAATCTAAGAAAGCCGGTTACGAGCTCAGAGAGTCAGATGAATTTCATTATATAATCTTCTCCGCATCAGGTCTGTCTTAAGATTTTTGGATCCTGTTAAAAAAACAATGAAATACATTTTCTTTCATCCATTTTCATGTTGCACGACGAGGTTTCGCATGGAGAAATTCCTGTTATAAAGTAGTGAAGCAATTTTTATATTACTGACTTAATAGTAATGAATAAGTATCAAATAATATATTAATCAATACAGACGGTTATATTCTTCTACTATACCTAGTTTCACAAGGCAATGTGACTTCAAAGCTAATAAAATGACTGTGGGTACTCGATCTTTGATGTTAGGTTTGTTTTGTCATTGATTCTGCACGCAAGCATCTCAATACTTATTACGAATCGTGTTTTGCTGAAGGGAAGAAGAATCATCTTACTCTATGATTGTATTTCACGATGAACTCATCAGTTTCGCTTGTAGGTTTGCTGGTGGCAGCATAATTATTACCTTGTTTCATAGAGATTATCTTCGTCGATGCATGGAGAATAAATTTGGCCGGGATTCAATGAGTTGTATCGTTATCTGGGACTTTGAGAGGAAAGGATATTCAATCACAAAACGGTTGAGCCTGGTAAGTATGAACGCGAAGTCTTAAAGACGAGTTAGCCGATCTTAGTGTACTGATTTCGAAAATTTCTAAAATAAATATATAAGACGAGCCGTTCACTTTTCAGATACCATAACTTCCAGAATAGCGACAAGTAGAATCTAAGAACTTATTTTCCGTCCTGTCATTTGCTCAAGAGCTAAGACTGGATAACTCAATTAGGGGTGCAACAAATCTTGTAAAGATTTGGGATTTATGACCAAATCCTTTGGGTTTGGATTTGGATTTGGATTTGAAGTAAGGTTTGTACCTATGTTTGGGATTTGGGATTTGGACTTGGATTTGGTTTGGGATTGGGGTATAGGATTTGGATTTGGCATTGGATTTGGGGATAAGGTTTGGATTTGGTTATTGGATTTGTGCATTTTAAGATTTGGATTTGGCTTTGAGATTTGTAAAAACCATAGCTATGGAGGTATCCATAGGTCCTCATAGGCTATCCTATAGGGGTACCCATCGGTCCTTATGAACTATTATATGGAGGTATCATAAGTCCTCATAGGCTATCATATGGGGGTACTCATAGGTCCTCAAGGGCTATCCTATGGGGGACCTATAGGTCCTCAAGGGGAGACCTATGGGAGTACCCACAGGTCCTGAAGGGCTACCCTATGGGGATACCCATAGGTCCTCAAGGGCTGACCTATGGGGGTAACCATATCTCCTCAAGCGCTATCATATGGGGGTACTCATAGGTCCTCAAGAACTATCCTATGGAGTACCCTCAGGTCCTCAAGGCCTGTCATATGGGGGTACTCATAGGTCTTCAAGAACTATCGTATGGGGCACCCACAGGTCCTCAAGAGCTATCCAATTGGGGACACTCATAGGTCCTCAAGGGCTATCATATGGGTGTACTCATAGGTACTCAAGGGCTACCCTATGAGGTACCCATAGGTCTTCAAGACCTATCCTATGGGGGTACCCACAGGTCCTTAATGGCTACCCTATGGGGTGCCCATAGAGCCTCAAAACCTATCCAATGGGAGTATCCGCAGGTCCTCAAGATCTATCCTATGGGGGTACCCACATCTCTCAAGGACTATATTATGGCGGTATCCCAAGGGGGAAAAAGCGAATTTTGGCATCCATAATCTTTAATATCTTCTAAACTCTTTCAAAATCTTTTGAATCAGACTCGACATTGGTGTTTCTTAGCTATTGTAAGGACAAGCGATAGTGTTGATCGGATGATATAAATGAGCAGCTCGGTTAACGCCCTCATCGGCCCGAAAAACCCAATGTTTTGACCCTAAAATATTAGAAAAAAACCGTGCTGAAATCTGATTGGTTGAGAGCCTTTTTGTATTGACCAATCAGATTCGAGGAAGCTGTTTCTCGGCTATTGTAACGACAAAACCTGCCCATGTTGAGGTCAAACGAAAGAGGACCCCGGATAACGCTAAGCTTGGTCGGAGCAATTCGGCTTTGTCTTAACAATGGAGGGAAAACCCTGCTGAGATCTGATTGGTTGGTAGCTTTCTTCCATCGGCCAATCAGATTGCGAGAAGCTGTGTCTCGGCTATTGTATGGGCAAAACATAGGTTATTCGGGTCATATGAAAGAGTACCCCAGAAAACCCCCTGATCAGCCCGAGCCACAACATGTTTGTCCTTACAATAGCTGAGAAAGAGCTTCCTCAAATATGATTGGCGGATTATCAAACAATCAGATTTTAGTAAGTTTTTTTCCTCTATTATGAGGAGAAAGCATGGAAATGTTCTAGCCAATCTTGGAATTATCTGGGGCCCTCTTTCATTTGACTCGAACATGAGTAGGTTTTCCCTTACAATAGCTGTGAGTGTTCGAAATGAGGTCACAACAATCAACGTGTATTGACCCGAGTCGGGTGAAACTCGCTTTCATTGTTGCGACCTCATGTCGGACACTGATAGATGTGAAACAGCATCTCGCAATCTGATTGGCCGACAGAAAAAAGGTATCAATCAATAAGATTTCCGCATGGATTTTTCTCACTATTGTTAGGACAAAACATGAGGTTGTTCGGGGCAGTCCTGGGGTTCTCCGGGATCTTCTATCACATGACTCGAACATCGGTGCGCTTTATTCGTACAATAGTTGTGAAACAGCTTCCTCGAATCTGATTGGTCGATGCTTGGAATATAGAGATTACGCTCATGAGCGCTCATATAAGGGCTCCCGAGCTTGAACTGGGCAGCCCTAAAGAACACTAGCGAAAACGAGTTGACCCTTATGACTAACTACCATACCGGAAGTACAAAAGAAACGCTCGAACTCATAAGAGCGTGGACAGATTTCATGAAA